ACACGCACAGCAAAACAGAAATCTGTTTAATACCGAAAAAAGCGTTTCTGGTTCTAAACTGACCAATTCAGCTATCTTTGCAACCTTACTTTTTTTTGATTGTCCCATTTAGTATAAAATTCAAGGTTTTTTAACATGTAATGGAGAATGACAAAAAGCGAGAAGTAAACAAATAAAATATTTAAAATGCCATGTTGGTTAACCCCTAAAATTAATATACAGACATTCGACAACAAACAAACAATATTTACTCATGTTTCGGAGGAGTAAAAAACGCACAATTCCTGGGTTGCCCTAGTACTTACTCAACTGTCCTACTTTGTTATTTTGATCATTATCCCAAAAGTTGTTAAAATTGTGTTGCACTATGATTTATAGTTGTTTTGTCTATAAAAAAACGAGGTATCCTAACATATGATATCAATTAACAACTATTTAATGTTTTTCTTAATTATCCCTGTAGTATAGAATGTTAGTTGTTTGGTCATGGATGTTCTATTTACTTAGGATACAATGCACTGAAGACAAGGCTTATAAACTGATCAAGGCTGAATATGATAATTTGGAGGATTTTAAAACTATGAACCAAACCAAAATATACCGTGATAAAGTGATACTATTTCCTGATGTTACACGAGGCAGTGATATAGTTGAGACGAATGTCATATGCGTAGATAGTAATACTGGTATTGTAAGCACTATGAAGTTTACGCATGATGATACATTGATATATAAGGCACAGGCTAACATTCTTAGTTTTGTGACAAATCCCAACCCAGATGAAGGATATTTTAGGGAATGCGTTATCAACTTCTACACGAATGATGATACAACCGAAGAAGAATGTGAGGAAGCAATAAAACAACTAAAGGCAGTAGCAAAACAAAAAGAAGACGAAGGAGATATATCAAGCTACTTTGTGTATGAAGAAATAGTGAAGGCAACGATCGAAATAGGAAAGGATGGTATATTAACAGCAGATGAAAAGCAAAAAAGATTGATAGAATATCTCCTACAATTACCAACGCTAATCCCTATTAGTTTTTTGGGATCTGATGATGTTAATAATACAGGATATTTCTTTATGGCATTTACACTTAAAAGAGAGAAAATGAAGTCAGAGATAATCAAAGTAACAAGAAAGCAGGGTGAAAACCCCATAATAGAGATCCTGGACGAATATGGAGCAGCAACAAAAAAGAATGGAATATCGAAAAAAGTCAAAGCATGGATTGTTGTCATAGCAGTTATTGTGGGAGTTGCAATAATATCAACGATGGTAATAATACGTTGCTTGATATAAACATAGGGAATTTGTACTTAATTTCCATCCCAGGGTTTCACGTGTCTCAAACACGTTTCCAAATTGAACCTGACAGTTTAGACAAGGTTTAATTGGTGATGCTTCCTGATCACTCATTACTACCCGCCCAAGATTGTTTTTCGTTTAAGAAGCTTTTTCTTCCCGTTTGAACTATATAAAAAGAACCAACCAAGATTATCCATGTAATTACGGGTTGATGAATAAATAGACCAGAAGTGGTAAAAGTTCATGATCCGTTAGCCAAATTATCGCTCCGCGCAAGGAATCACGACATTTCTTCAAAACGTTGTGATCATTTTTACCAGGTTAATCGCTACATCAGTAAATAACCAAAAATCTGTTTATCTTGATTATTCGTTATCTCCCAGTCATAATCCTCTTGTTGATGTCAGTTTAACCAGCATGCGCTTGTGTTTATTTTTTATGATTCAATCTCATCTACTTATCTTAATTTTCATCATTTCTTAGGCACTTGATTCACGGATATCCAAGTAACCTGAAAACATCAAGTTGTTTTCGCCCAAAATACCATATGTGGAATAAACTCGCCTTTATTTGTCTTCAAACACTCTGTTTTATGATATTCGTGGTCTTTGTATTTAATAACTTCAAATTCAGTTGAATAACCTGATAACCATATTTTGTTGCCAATAACGTATTCTGCAGAAAACCGATAACATACTCACTTATTTGATACAGGCAAGAAGTATAACCTGCTATTTCGTGTTATTCTGTTCGTTTTGACATCCATTCGGTTCCTATGAAATCTAATTGAAACAACACTCTCTATTGTGGGCCTCAATATCATCGGATATTTTTAGAGCGTATTTTCATGTCTTCCTCTAGCACTCTCTTATCTTGAGATTCCCAATCTTTAGTATTTTCATTATTTCTCGATCACGCGCATGTCATTCTCTTCTAGACACGGCTAAAACATGAATATTTGTTTTGATCCTGTCTTAACATGCTCTTTCTCAATAAATTACTTCTCGTTGTAAATAACCTAGTGGCAAAATCACCTTGAAACGTAATGATATTTTCCCTATTTTTCAAATCTAAAATTAGGGATAAAAGTAAGGTTGTTGTTTTTTACAGTATTGTCGTAAGGTTCAAAAGTATGGCAAAAAATATCGTGATACAGGGATTAAAATGCTTCACATGACGCTTTTCCCACTAATAATGCCTAAGAAAAAAGTATAGGAAAATTGGCCACGTTTGGACACTTCTACTCTAATCATTTATTGTGGCACCCTCCTTTGCATATCTTCCTTAAATATCCAGTGATGGAGGGATCACTATCGTGATCCTTTTGCGTAAACTAGTCTGATTGTTCATCTGTTGCTGGCGGACAGGTACTTTGAGTCTTATCAGTAGCTTGATCGTTCACATCTTTATTGCTCAATTTTCACTTTCCCTTAAATTTATTCTTTCTATATTACCCCTATGTTAATATGCCAAATCCTAACTGTTTTAAGTGTCCTACTGAAGATAGTTAAGAACAAAAATAACAACGATCCATGCTTCTTCCACAATTGTTTCTGGAACAAAAACCTAGAAAATGAATTCCCAATCAACAAATTATCATATACCAATGATGAAATTGAAATACAATTTCACGGTATTTTGAATCTACAAATAATTGCACCATATAGAGACCAATTGAACCGGGATCAACTGAAAGCATGTGAAGAATGTATTGAGTCATTCAAACTAATATCTGAGTGGTATTTCTCAGATTACAACTCCTTGAAATGTTTCAACTCTAACCTAATTCATACTAAACCAACAATATCATTGATACATCCTAGTGCTTTAATGGTGCAAATAAAATTAGCAATCCCAGTAAGAAATGGACAGACTATCACATTCCAGGAAAATGGTGCGAGATATCTTTTTGGAATGCGTATACTAGATGACCGTGATTCATATATGAATATTCTACAAATGTCATTCCATAAAGTCTATTTTGAAACAGATTGGAAGACTACAATAGTCTCATTCAAATTATCAGAGCTCACTAATTCACCCAGAGTACTTTTCAGGCATCCGATGAGAATTGAAACTGAACTTCTCCTAAAAATATTTGAGGGATTTGCAACATACAATAACGTCAGAATATATGGGAATGCCAAGATTTCACAGGATTTTCCGTATCTTAAAAATAGATTCAGTACAGTGATACAATTCAGTGATGACTACAAATTTAAAGACAACAATGATTTACCTGAATTAAAACAGATAGAAGAACCAAAAAAGGAAAATAATCAAATCCAAGTACCACAAAAGAAAAAGAATACAATGCTAGTTATAGTGATATTAGTTGGAGTAGTGATAGTATTGGTGGTGTTTGTAAACTACAAAATAATGAAGAAAACAGTTTAATCAGAGATTTTAGTGGCTCATTGGTATCAATTCTTTTAAACAACGATATTCTGACATCTATACTGTGTGTGCTATGCGTACAATTTATTGCTAGTAACATACAGATGCTTTTGGCATTAGGTTTGTGAACTTTATACTTGATTAATCAATACTGCTCACATTACTGGCAACAATTGCGGTGATTTATGATTGTTATTCCATTATTGTGATACGACAAGAGTAAAAAGCATTAGGTACTGGGCTAAAAGAAGAATACTACACGATTTCTACTGTAAACTACATTAAATCTCATCAATGACAGGTTAATATTGTTTAAATTGTTTAAATGGTGCTGTATGTTCTATTTCCTAATGTAATACTCGTATATTTCCCATTTACTATGAACATTTCTGTTTAAAATAACAAAATGCCTATTTTTTTATTGCATATTAGCATCAAAAATGTCAATATAATCGTTTACTGTAGGTAAAAGGCAACAATATGCTAAAAACAGTCCAAGTATGCCTTATCTAGACGATTCATAAACTCTTTATAACCTTTTTCTATCTCATCATTAACATTTAATCTGATCTAAAATTATTATAAGCGATAGATTTAAAACTCTTTAACTATTCAAGCGCCTTAGTCATTCTCTCCTTGTACTTTTCAATAGATCCCTTCTCTTTAACAACACTCACGCAACTTCCTCTAACCAGTAACCTATTCTCACTCCTTAGATTCTGATACTCATCACGTGTCATCTTCGTAAATTCATGAATCGTAGACTCCTGAATCAATTGCTTCCCTGATAACCTGTTTTTAGCTCTTCTCAATGCTTCTTTAGCGTGGGATACAAAATTACCCTTTGTTCTAACATTGATGATGTGCTGACCAACAAATACTCGTGCTGCTCTACCATATGGTTTACCAAATGAATTTCTCATTCCAGTCTGTCTGCTCCAGCACATGTCAATATCTTGTTTGTTCTCAAGATATTCAATGGTTGAGGACATATTCACATATGGAAATTATCCTTACCGTGTACTTGTTAACTTCAAATCTACATGATTCTAATGCTCCTGTTCCATTGAAATCAAATTGACTCTGAATGCCAATGCA